GTTAAAAATAAAATACAAAGCAATAGTACACAAAGTATGATGCTTCTAAGATAATTCATTAGTATCTATATTTTAAAATGTTAACAAGGATGCAGGTTTCCACCAAAATACTTAATAATGTGTTCCTATAGCACAGCCAAAAGAGATGCACACACATCAGTGGTTATCATCACTGATGTAAATATGAACACATCCACACACATCCCTCCCTTTATCCATCCTTCTGCCCCTTTGCTGCTAGCCTAATGAACAAGTCCTGATGTCTGTTTCTGAGGTGGTCTAACAATTTCTTGTCCAAGATGCCTCTTTTGTATCAATTATAATTAAAAGATATTTACAAATTGGTTAATTCACTAGCTCTACTTTTTCTTTTAAATCCTCACCTAAGGATATGTTTTTCATTGAGAGAGAGAGAGAGAGAGAGAAAGAGAGAGAGAGAGAGAGAGAGAGAGAGAGAGAGAGAGAGAGAGAGAGAAAACATTGTTTGGTTGCTCCTGTACATGCCCTGACCCTGGGGGATGGAACTTGCAACCCGAGTATGTGCCCTGACTGGCAAACCCACAGCCCTTTGGTGCTCAGGATAATGCTCTAATCAACCGAGGCACACTGGCCAGGGCACTAGCTCTACCTTTTTTTAAAAAAATATATATATATTTTATTGATTTTAGAGAGGAAGGGAGAGGGAGAGAGAGATAGAAACATCAATGATGAGAGAGAATCATTGATTGGCTGCCTCCTGCACGTCCCCTACTGGGGATCAAGCCCACAACCCAGGCATGTGCCCTTGATCGGAATTGAACCCTGGACCCTTTAGTCTGCATGCCGACATTGTTCTATCCTCTGAGCCAAACCAGCTAGGGGTAGCTCTACTTTTTTATCATACATTGTCAGTTACCTCAGGACATCTAAAAAGCTCATGTTGCAAAAAAAGAACAAATCTTGTCCACAATAAACACAGGTTCTTGACAAAAATGCACATACAGATCTATGGTTATAACCTAAAGCTCTCTTTTAGATACGGGGATACCAGCAAAGAGCCATTCCCTTCACCCTTTCTCTTCCTCCTCCACCATTTCTATTTTTTTTTAATATATATATTTTTGATTTTTTACAGAGAGGAAGGGGGAGGGATAGAGAGTTAGAAACATTGATGAGAGAGAAACATCGATCAGCTGCCTCCTGCACATTCCCAACTGGAGTGTGCCCGCAACCAAGGTACATGCCCTTAACCAGAATCGAACCTGGGACCCTTGAGTCTGCAGGCCGACGCTCTATCCACTGAGCCAAACTGGTCAGGGCCCTCCTCCACCATTTCAATGACTGAGTACAGGATTACATGTAGTTCCAAGAGGTGAATTAACAAAGACACTCCCAGAACACAGTCCTTCCTAAAAACTAACAAATGAACATTTAAAAGGTATTATTTTATACCTCTACTTTTAATATACTTTGGGCATTAGTACTTGTTTATTCTTGAATATAAAGCAATATATTTTTTAATTTTAAAATGAAAAAATTTTTAATTGAATTTATTTGGGTGACATCCTATCTAATAATAGACAAACATGGTAATTAACCGTAGCTCCAACATGCTTCCCATTGGCTAATCAGGGCGATATGCAAATTAACTGCCAACCAAGATGGCGGCCGGCAGCCAGGCAGCTAAAGCGAACATGAGGCTTGCTTGCTCCAGTGATGGAGGAAGCCAAGGTTCCCCGCCTGCCGCAGCCCAGCTCTGAGCTCCGAATGCAACAATGTTGCAATTATAGAACCTAAACAAACCCCAGGTACCTGCTTTCAGCCACCAGCGGGCTCAGAGCTTAGAGCTCCAGTGATGGCAACAGAGTTTCAATTATAGAATCTAAACAAACCCAGATACCTGCTTTCATCCGGCAACGGCCTCAGAGCTGGAGCCGGCTCTCAGCTCCAGTGACAGCTATAGAAGGTAAATAAATCCCAGAATAAAAAAAAAGAAAAGAAAAAAGGAGAGGCTGGGAGCTTCAGTTGCCCACCAGCCTGAAAACAGCCCTCAGCCCCTCACCCAGACTGGCCAGGCACCCCAGTGGGGATCCCCACCCTGAAGGGTGTGTGACCAGCTGCAAACAGCCATCATCCCCTCACCCAGGCTGGCCAGGCACCCCAGTGGGGACCCCCACCCTGATCCAGGACACCCTTCAGGGAAACCAACCAGCCCCACCCATGCACCAGGCCTCTATCCTATATAGTAAATGGGTAATATGCAAACTGACCCTAACAGCAGAAGGACTGGGAATGACTGATCACTATGACACACACTGACCACCAGGGGGCACACGCTCAATGCAGGAGCTGCTCTCTGGTGGTCAGGGCGCTCTCACATGGGAGGAGCTCTGCTCAGCCACAAGCCAGGCTGATGGCTGCCAGTACAGTGGTGGTGTTGGGAGCCTCTCCTGCCTCCTCAGCAGCGCTAAGGATGTCCGACTGCAGTTTAGGCCTGCTCCCCGCTGGCAAGTGGACATCCCCCGAGTGCTGCCGGGCTGCCAGAGGGATGTCTGATTGCCATCTTAGGCCCAATCCCCCGGGGAGTGGGCCTAAGCCAGCAGGTGGTCATCCCCTGAGGGGTCCCAGACTGCGAGAGGGCACAGGCCAGGCTGAGGGACCCCCCCCCCCCCCCAGTGCACAAATTTTTGTGCACCGGGCCTCTAGTTGGTTAATAAAATTATATAGGTTTCACGTATATAGTTATATAATACATTATCTGTGTATTGTATTGTATGTTCACCACCCCAATCTATAACAATATTAACTAAAAGGTTCACATGTATTAATTGCTAGACAATCTGAACTTATCTAAAGACTCATGGGCACAGAACCTTCTGTACTTCCTTCCTTCACCACTTCCCCATCACCCTATGAACAGTCAGCATAATCTCCAACACATCAAGTTTAACAGTACAACCATACCTATGAATTAACAGAAAAAAAACACTTAAAGGGTATTATTTTAACTCTACTTTTAATATGTTGTGTACTTTTTATTTAAAATATATATTTTATTGATTTTTTACAGAGAAGAAGGGAGAGGGACAGACAGTTAGAAACATTGATGAGAGAGAAACATCGATCAGCTGCCTCCTGCACACCTCCTAATGGGGATGTGCCCGCAACGAAGGTACATGCCCTTGACTGGAATTGAACCCGGAACCCTTCAGTCCGCAGGCTGACGCTCTATCCACAGAGCCAAACTGGTTAGGGCTGTTGTGTACTTTTTAAAAATTATATTTGGTCTCCAGAGGTGCTGTATTTTTTAATATGTTTTTATTGATTTCAGAGTGGAAAGGAGAGGGAGAGATAGAAACATCAGTGATGAGAGAGAATCATTGATCAGCTGCCTCCTGCATGCTCCTTATTGGGGATTGAGTCTGCAACCCGAGCATGTGCCCTTGACTGGAATCAAACCCAGGACCCTTCAGTCTGCAGGCTGATGCTCTGTCCACTGAGCCAAACCAGTTAGGGCTACACTGTCTGCTTTTACAATCCCTCTGTTCTTACTGCTACTGCTCAAGTTTAGTCAATACTTTTGGTTCCAAATAATAGGAATACAGTTTAAACTATCCTGAACAGTAAAAGGAGATTTTTGGTGCTATAGAAAGGATGCTGAAATTACATATAGAATTGAAGGAAGTCTGCAGGAACCAGGGGATTATAGAACAGGAATATCACTCCATTGGAACCTACTTTCATCTCTGCTTGGCTTTATTCTTTATATTTTGCAATCAGACCTTTGCCAAAAGATCAATGATGGCTGTCTGTAACCTAACCTTATATCCTTCTGGTACCATGACCCCAAGAGGCAAGACCATTTCTCTTTCTGCTCTAAATTGGGAGATTTATTTGAATCAATCATTATTCCCAAAGAAAGGAGGGTACTATGATTTGTCTGGTTTGGAGCTCATGCCAACCCCAATGGCCAGGAGAGGATAAGAACATACCAAAGAAGATGCAGGGGAGAGCTTGTCTTGAGACCAAATCATTAATCATCACTGTCCTCTCCAAAGCTTTATTGCCCCAGCCCTCTAATGATTTTCCACTGCAGTTTAGCTGCTTACTGCTCTCAGAACAGCAGTGGCACTAAGTTTTGAAATTTATGAAAAAGCATAAAGTAGTGTAAAATTTCAGAGTAATGTTATTGTGAATGAGCTGTTTGGCTGAAGATAAACTACAAAGCTAACATAATGATTCATTTAATGAAATTTACTTAGTGCTTATTATGGACAACACATTGTACAGTTTTAATATGTTAAACCAAGTCTGGATACTAGTATCTAGGCACTGAAATCATGTCATATTTCATCAGAGAGCTAATTAATTTTACTCTTATTTTAAAACTAGAGGCCCGGTCCATGGATGCATGCACTGGTGGGGTCCCTCGACCTGCCTTCATCTTCCTCGCAATCCGGGACCCCTTGGGGGATGTCGGAGAGCTGGTTTCAGCCCAATTCCCACAGACCAGGCCAAGGGACCCCACCAGTGCACGATTGGGGCTGGGGAGGGGCTATGGGATGGCTCCAGGGTATGTCCAGTCCATCTTGCCTAGTCCCTCAGCAGCAAGCTAACCTACCATTTGGAGCATCTCCCCCCTGGTGGTCATAGCAACTTTTCGAATGGTCAAATGAATGGTTGGACACTTAGCATATTAGGCTTTTATTATATAGGATTTTTATTTTATTATTTTATTATTTCACCACTATAGCACTGGATTTTTAAAATTAGGTTATAGTTATTGACCTAGAATTTGAATGGCATGACTTTTTTAGCAGTAGCTTTTCTGATATTTGACATTTGCAAAGGGGATATTTTTATACTTCTGAAGAGTTTATTCTCATTACTGTCACTTGATGACCCTTTTGTGAAACTTATTCATTGATTATGAATCATTCAAATTATGATCTGTAGTTAAGAAGCTACCATTTTCTAGTTATCTACCAAATTCAAAATTATTACTTTTTCTGTCATTATAGTCTGTTGCATCTGCAGACATGGATTTCAACCAGCTGGAAGCATTCTTGACTGCTCAAACCAAAAAGCAAGGAGGAATCACATCTGATCAAGCTGCTGTCATTTCTAAATTCTGGAAGAGTCATAAGACAAAGATCCGAGAGAGCCTGATGAACCAGAGCCGCTGGGACAGTGGGCTTCGGGGCCTAAGCTGGAGAGTTGATGGCAAATCACAGTCGAGGCACTCAGCTCAGATACACACCCCTGTTGCTATAATGGAGCTGGAAATAGGGAAAAGTGGACAGGTGAGTTCAGCTTCAATCAATTTCCCATTTTAAACTATGTTTTCTTTTACATATTAGCAATACATTCAAATTGATTTTATGTAATAGTTTTCTTTGCAGAAATAGTGAGAAAATAGTAAAAGAACCTGTTTCTTAGAATCCCACTTCAGAGAGGGACTCATCTAAAAATTTGGATACTCCCAATTGTGTATAGAGTCGAAACCAGCCTCAGTGTTCTGGCAGCTATGGCAGAAGAACAAAATGGGGCAATAAGCCCTGGCTGGCGTAGCTCAGTGGTTGGAATGTTGGCCCTGTCAGCTGTGAACCAAAGGGTCTTGGGTTTGTTTCTGGTCAAGGGTATGTTACTGGGTTGTAGGTTCTCTGCCCCGATTGGGGCGTATGTAGGAGACAACCAATTGATGTGGCTCTTTCACATCGATGTTCCTCTCCCTCCCCCTCCCCCTCCCCCTCCCCTCCCCCCCCCTCCCCCTCCCCTCCCCTCCCCCTCCCCCTCCCCTCCCCCTCCCCTCCCCCTCCCCCCCCCCTCCCCTCCCCTCCCCCTCCCCCTCCCCCCCCCTCTCTCCCCCCTCTATCCTCCTCCTCCCTTCCACTCTCTCTAAAATCAATGGAAAAAATATCCTCCAGTGAGGATTAGCCAAAATTTTTTTTGAAATGGGGCAATAAGTTGATTGTACCGAAGTTGCCCACTACTTCATTTTGGTTAGATCTCAGAATTCTTCGCATTTGGTCAAAATCTACAAGGCGATGATAGATATCCTAAATAAAGATCAGGAATTGAGATTAAACAGCAAAGAACAAAACTATCTCACCTAGTCGTCTTTATAGGCAGTCAGGTATAGGAGACAATATCTTTTTTTTTTTTTTTTTAATATATTTTTTTATTGATTAAGATATTACATATGTGTCCTTGTCCCCACGTTACCCTCTACCCCCCACCCCCCCACCCCCGCTCATGCCCTCACCCCCCCGTTGTCCATGTCCATTGATTAGGCCTATATGCTTGCATATAAGTCCTTTGGTTGATCTTTCCCCCTTACCCCCACCCTCCCCTACCTTCCCTCCAAGTCCCGACAGTCCAATCAATGCCTCTCCGTCTCTGGATCAGTCCTTGTTCATCAGCTTATGTTGTTCATTATATTCCACAAATGAGTGAGATCCTGTGGTATTTATCCGCTCTCAAGTTCCATCCATGCTGTGGCAAATGGTAAGAGTTCCTTTTTCTTCTTCCTCTTCTTAAAGAATACCTTTCAGCATTTCATATAATGCTGGTTTGGTGGTGATGAACTCCTTTAGCTTTTTCTTATCCGTGAAGCTCTTTATCTGACCTTCTATTCTGAATGATAGCTTTGCTGGATAAAGTAATCTTGGTTGCAGGTTCTTGGCATTCATCACTTTGAATATTTCTTGCCAGTCTCTTCTGGCCTGCATGGTTTCTGTTGAGAAATCAGCTGACAGTCGTATGGGTACTCCCTTGTAGGTAACTGACTGTCTTTCTCTTGCTGCTTTTAAGATTCTCTCTTTATCTTTTGCTCTTGGCATTTTAATTATGATGTGTCTTGGTGTGGTCCTCCTTGGATTCCTTTTGTTTGGGGTTCTCTGCGCTTCCTGGACTTGTAAGTCCATTTCTTTCACCAGGTAGGGGAAGTTTTCTGTCATTATTTCTTCAAAAAGGTTTTCAATATCTTGCCCTCTCTCTCCTTCTGGTACCCCTATAATTCTGATGTTGGTACGCTTGAAGTTGTCCCAGAGGTTCCTTACACTATCTTCATATTTTTGGAATCTCTTTTCTTTTTTCTTTTTCGGTTGGGTATTTTTTGTTTCTTTGTATTTCAAATCTTTGACTTGGTTCTTGGGATCCTCTTTTCTGCTGCTGGATCTCTGTAAATTATTCTTTATTTCAGTCAGTGTATGCTTAATTTCTAGTTGGTCCTTTTTCATGTCCTCCATGGTCTCCCTGTACTTATTGAGGGATTCATTAAATTTATCGGCGGTTTCCATAAAATTCTTGAAAAACCTTATAACCGTGGCCTTAAACTCTATATCCAATCGTTTGCTTTCCTCCATTTCTGCCATTTGTGACCTGTTTCTTTGTCTCCGCATTTTGGCAGCTTCCCTGTGTTGATAGAGTGGCCCTGTGCGCCAGGTGTCCTGTAGGGCCCAGTAGCTCAGCCTCCCCAGTTACCTGGGGTGGACACTCTTGGTGCACTCTTGGTGCCTTGGTTGTTGTAGAATCACTGGGAGGAATTGACCTCCAGGCCAATTGGCTGTGAGAATCAGCTGTGTCTAAAGTGGGAGAACTTCTGTGCTGAAGACACCCTTCTGGGGCAAGACTTGCTTCAGTGGGGCTTTGGTGCTCACTGAGTCTGCTCCCTGAGTGCGTCCCTTATGGATCTGAGGAGTTGCAGTCTGGATGGACCCCCTCTGACCACTGGGTACAGTGGCTCCTGGATCTAAGGAGGTGCTAATTCAGCCTCTGCCTGGGGCCACACAGCAGGAGCCACGAAGAGGCTCAGCTGTGAAGCAATGCAAGCCGCTGCGGGGCCTTGGGCCTTCTCTTGGAAGTTCCAGGTCTGCCTGGTTCGGCTGCAGTTAGGTACATTCACATGCAAAAGCCTCTGCCGCAGCCTGGGTGGGGCGGGGTCTCAGGGAGTCAGAGGGCGGAGAAAGCAGCCATGGCCGATTCTCCGCCCGGAGTCGCGCGTCTCAGTGACCCGGTAACGGCTGCAAGCACCTCTGAGGGAAAGCCGCCCTCAAGTTCGCCCGCTGCCGGACAGACCAGCTTCTCCCCGTATGAGACCTGGGTCCCCAGAGACTTCCCGGAACCAGAGTTCAGAGCAGTCAGGAGCTTGTGACTCAAAAAGACAGCCGCGTCCTCAGGCGCCACCCCCTTTCCTCGCGCGCGCGAGCCGCCGTACCTCTGCACTTCACCTCCGCAGCGCCTCTGGCTCTCAGCGTGCTTTTCTTTCCTTCTAGTTGTGGACTTTACACTCAGCCAGCCTTCCTGTTCTTCTGGATGATGTTTGCTCAGTCCTTTGCGGTAATTTTCAATTGTTGTGTGAGGCGATAATTTCCCGGTGTTTACCTATGCCGCCATCTTAGTTCTCTCCAGTAGACAATATCTTAAGTACTGTAATGTATTTATTGTTCCTAAAGATTCTAAGTGTGCTATCACTGTCATTGAGTCCACCAGTAATTTTTTATTTGATCTTGATTATTTACAAAACACTGCTGCTTTTTCCTACAGCCATTATAGCAGATAATTTTAGCATCTATATGGTTTTCCTTGAACTTATTTGGTTTGGGCTCCAGTTAACTGCCAGATCAGACTTTTAATGACTTGGTGTTTATATCTTTTTGGGGAAAAAAAAAGCAGCAACTTATAATTAGAAAGAGAAAACCCAGATTACTGAATTATCTAACCAAACTTCTTTTCAGATAAATAATGAAATATGTGCTTCTGTTACATACTATAATAGAAATTTATTATTTTCTTCTAATAATGAGAATATTTTTTAACTGTCAGGTTTCCTCTTATATTCTCTTCTTGAATTTCTTAGAATTTTTCATTGTCTCTAGTTCCGTAATGACTTTGTTTTTAATTTAAAATATAATTCCTTTTAAAAAATGTAATTCTTCTTTAAAATAGATATAATTGGAGGAACTTTTATTTAGTTATTATAAAATAATGCGATTGCCTTTGTTGACTTTGGTGTGTCTGACCTTAAAGTCCATTCTCTTAACCATTGTGTTATATGGGCTTTCTTCTTTTGTTCCTAGACCAAAAATCTGATAGATTAGCAAGGTATGATAAGTACACTTAGATATTTCACCAGTAATTTGTACAGGCTATTCATTTAAAAGATATATGTTTGTATTGATTTTAGAGAGAGAGGAAGGGACAGGGAGAGAGAAAGAGAGAGAGAGAGAGAGAGAGAGAGAGAGAGAGAGAGAGAAACATCAATGTGAGAGAAAAACAATTGGCTGCCTCCTGTCTGCACCCCGACTGGGGATTGAACCCACAAAACTTGGGTATGTGCCTGACTGGGAATTGGACTGGTGAAGTTTTGGTTCACAGGATGATGCCCAACTAACTGAGCCATACCAGCCAGGGTCAGACTATTCATTTTTTATTATAGCAGTAGTGATTATTTTATTTTGTCTTAAGTATTTATCATTTGGGTAGGATTATGAAAATATACATATCTAAGACCTTTCTAGAAAGTTTTTATAGTACTTCCTAATATTTCTTGAACTGGGGTTTATAAATAACACTAGAAATTCGTGCGGTGGTGGGGACGTTGGTTCCCCTCAGCCCAGCCTGCACCCTCTCCAATGTGGGACATCCTTCTTACAATCCTGGACTGCTGGCTTCTAATCATTCACATGCCTGCCTGGTCACCCCTAACTGCACCCCCTGCTGGCCTGGTCGCCCCCAACTGCCCCCCCTGCTGGCCTAGTTGCCCCTCACTGCCGCCCCTGCCAGCCTGGTCACCCCTAACTGCCCCCCCACTGCTGGCCTGGTCGCCTCTTACTGCCCCTGCTGCCGGCCTGGTCACCCCCAACTGCCCCCCCCCCCAGCCTGGTCACCCCTCACGGCCCCCCTGCCAGCCTGGTCGCCCCACGCAGCCTGCTTGTTCAGTCGTTTGGTTGTCCCTCACTAATCCCCCTGCCGGCCTGGTCGTAGGCAGCCATCTTGTGAGGGCATGAGGGTTATTTTGCATATTACCTCTTTATTATATAGGATGTGCCTTTTGATTTTAGTAATTTACACACCATCTGAATTTTGGGTATACTGTCACAGGGATTTTTAAATCTACTTTTAAATCTCTGTGGTTTTTCTTTGACCTTGTTAGCCAAAGTGGCAAAACGTTTCTTTTTCACTGGAATGATTTTCATCAAATTAGTAAATCTACCACTACAAATGATGTGTTGGCTAGCTCCTAACAAATTTATATTTCTAAACTGGATTTCTCTTCTAAATTTCATTTATGTATTTATGA